CTTGGTCGGCCTTCCTCAAGTCTGCTTCAATGTTGGTAGGATCTGCAACCAGCCGAGATGAAGTCACCTCGGATGATGGGGGTCGGATCAGAGGAAGTTCAGCTTGAAGTTCGGTGATCCTGGCCATCATCCGATCGAGAACAAGTGAAGCTCCCGACTCCAAGGCGGGTTGAACCAATAGGGTTATTGCGACTTGGACTAGCGCCGAAAGGTCAGCCATTTCTAAGTCAGCAAAATCCAAGTTGGCGCAGCGTTCCACAATGGTTCTGACGGGAGTCGGGAGGTTTATTCGGGTCAAAATGTTCATCTCCTGGGTAGCCTAAACCAGGAGGAGTTTAGTAAGTTAAGAGATATGGTAAATTTCTTGAGAGATAAGGTTGGAATGTTGCTTGATTCAGGGCAGCCGTAGCCTCAAAAGGGGCCATGAGTTGGAAAATTGAGGGGTTGACTGGACGAATAGTCGGACCAGCAACTGATTCATCCCCTGGTGGAAGATGATGGGCAGCTGCTAATTCCATACTCTGAACAAAGGACAAAAAATTTTAGCACCATGGGATGGGCGAAAAATAAAAAAAATAGATAATAAAGAGTACCAACCGGACCCAGCGGGGCAAAATTGACGGAGGCTTCACCCGACTTTGAAGAGGAAATTTCCTCTACATCGTGGGGTGGTAGGTCTGGTTGGACTGGTTCGGGAGCAGCAAGAGGAACCTCATCAACTTGTTGAGCAACCGGGTCGGGTAAAGCCACGACCTGGTCAGGTGCAGGCAATACCACATTTTCAATGGGTGCCTGGTTGGAATAGGTTTTAGTTATCAGGAGTTTTATAAAAATGACAACATTGAAAAAGGGTCTAGCGCTTACTTGTTGTGGTTCTGCAATTTGATCGGGGAGGACAACGGGCTGGTCGGGCATCACCGCGACCATATCCGACGCTGGGAGAGGAAGTAGCCTTCCCATCGATTCTTCTGGTCGGTGTGCCTACAATAAAAGGTTTGAAGTTATTGTTTAAAATTAATATTTGTTTGTCTAAGGAATGTCAGAAACCATTTTTACCTCTGATTGTCTGGAAGTCGGTTGTGTGGTGGTCAGGACTATAGCTAGTTGTTCTGTGGTCGGGACCACATGGAGTTGTTCTGTGGTCCAGACCACAGATAGTTGTTCTTTGGTCGGGGCAGCAGTTGATCGGGACGAGGATAGATTAATGGGAAATTGTGCCTCGGGTGATTGATGATCGGTTAGTTGAGATATGGTCGGACCAGTGGACGGTGGCAATGAAGGACCTTCTGAAACAGAGATATTGAAGTTAAAAGGGGACCGTACGAAAATGACATAGTGAAAGGAACAAAACTTACCAAATTGTTGCCTTAAATACTTTGGCATTCCACTGGTGTCTATTCGCAGAGATGCCAAGTATTCCTCGATGGCCTGCCTGTCAATGGCAGGAGTGGTCTTTGTTTTTTGCCTTTTCGCTCCCGACCCACCTGCAACAGGTGCCTGCCTTTTCCTTTCTCTGGCTGCTAGTCGGGGAGAGCCAAGAACCAGGGCTGGGGATGGAGCAAGTTTCCCGACCAGTTGGTCAGTTGAAGGGGCAAGTAAAGACCAGGTGGCCGACCACCAGGCAGGGAAACTTTCAGTTGTCGAGGTTTTTGGGCAGAAAGGTAGGTAGGAATTGGAGGTAATATAGCTGGTGAGTTGAGAAATATAGGTCGGGATGAGTTCGGGAATTACCAGTCCCTCGGGGCTTTGAAATATTAGGTGGGGACTGGCTAATGGTCCTGGTATGCCCTGACAGCAACCAAATTGCCTCGACAAAAATTGGGGTTGGTAATTGTACGTATAAAACTCTCTACGATTTTTCTTATCCGACCTTCTACTGGAAAAAAGAGATCGGGGTTTCATCGCGACGTCCCAGGAAAAAGTGTAGGTCGGATGAGGGATAGGATCAGGGCGAGTTAGAGGATGAGTTGGGTCCGGATAAAGGAAGAAAAAATCAGTCGAATATTGTATTAAGGTTGTGTATACAAAAAAGCTGGAATTGTTCCGATCTTCAGTCAAAATTTGGGTTATTATAGAATCGGATGATTTTAGACAAGAAGAATTCGGGGTTAATCTGGCTAAGGCATAACCAATAGACCTATAAGGATTGGGAGAAATTGGGAGGCGACCAAAAAATGCAAAAGGGAAGTATAGACGGAGCCACAATTCCAGGAACCAAAATGGTCCCGAGGCTGCAGTGTCCGCCTTTTTAGTATCTGTAACACGGGAACTTACTCGAGTTAAACCTTCAAAGAGGTTAGCTAAGAATAAGGTGCCTAATGAAGAAAAGTGGCCACAGGCCAAATGGATGGCTAGGTCAGTGTGAGTGGAAAGAACAAGTTTTGAAGGGGAAATGATGATATACCTGTGACGAAAGAAGAAAGAAATTTAAGCTCGAATATCCAAACTTTGAAGATACAAAAGAAATTAAAAGGGAGAATATATACCTGCAGAGCCAAAAGAGGAGGAAAGCAGTGTGTTCCAACTCGGAAACAGGGGTACCCTCCTTACCCTGATATTTGTTAACAAAGTGTGTCCATCCTCTTTCCCTTTTAGGAAGCTTAGCCAGGGGCCAACCTTGATGGTTGGGGGGAAGGTTCTTGATTTCCGAGAGACTAGAACGGGGTCCTCGCCTGTGATCGGCAGATGTGCGATCACTGCTACATCCATTAAGGTCGGTCCCATAGGACCTGAAGGGAGGAAAAAGGCACCCGTTTGCGAATGCCAAAAGACTGCCATGGCCATTAAGACTTTATCGTGTAGGTAAAGCGGTTGCGTTGAGAGGAGGATAGCTTTATCAATCCCTTGGGTTTTCCATTGGTTTTCAAAATGGGGAAGGAGCCTTGCGTACCATTTTCGATAAGCATCTTTTGGATCAGTCAAGTGAGTCTTGATACTGTCCAGAAGGCGCTTTGGTTTGAACGCTTCGTTGTTGATGATAATAGGAGAAACTTGCACAATAACAGATCTCATGCGTTCAGCATCTGCAGTGGTAGTGCAAGTAAGGACGAATCGTAGGAGTAAGAACCTTGGAAGCCACAAAGGATACTGAGGGTTTGGTTCCGTCGAAAGGAAGTGCAAGAACATACTGGTTAGCCATTTACGCGAGGATGAAAGAGATAGAAAGGAAGTAAAATCAAAGGAGGAAGCTAAATGGAAAACAGAGGGGATTTTCAGAATTTTGAATGCGTGAGTTTGAGAAACTGAAGGTAGGGTTTAACATAAACCCTTTGATTTGACGCGGCACAGTGTGATGATCACACTCTGTAACCCTAAAACGTCACGTCTTCCATAGTTCGAGGAGTGACGTTTCGGCGGGAGGAGGCAAGTTGTTGAGCACAAAAAATGGTGGATAGGTTTTTAGAGAATGGGCCTGCCAAGATTAGTTTAAGATTTATTCGAAAAGTCTAGTGGGCTTTTTGAAAGTCCAAGTATGACTGCAATAACCGGGTCGGGTGAGCTTAGGGTCGGATGTTAAGGTCAAACCTGGTCGGGTTAATCCCAAAGGTCGGACGGATGATGAGACTGGACCTGGTCGGGACCAAATAGTTCGGATATTGAAGTCAAACCTAGTCGGGACCAAGTTCAAAGGTCGGGTGTAAGAAGGTCGGGCATTGAAGTCGGACAAAGTTCAAAGATTAGGTGTAATAAGGTCGGGCATAAAATGGAGATAGTACAAAGTCAAGTAGTAAAAGTAGCTAACCTACAGGTCGGGTGAAAAGGCAGTTTCTGATAGTGGAGGGTAGCTTCAACTGGCGAGCGGTTTTCAAAGGTCGGACGTGGTAGGACGGTTCTCATACGTGTCAATAAAAGAGAACTTTTGGGGCAGTTAACAGCGGTTATGGTAACCGACTGGATAACGGTTCGAACCGTATCTTCAAAGGGTTAGTTAAGGATTCCGTATTGTACAGAGGAGGGATCTTCAACTGACATCAAATTCAGGAGAATTGATTTTGGGGATCATCACTTTTATTTTCCAATCTTTTATTTTATTTTCCTTATTTTATTTATGTATTCTACAGTGTTTAGAGATCTCTAATCTCAGGCACTCATCTATCAAATTCGGGGATATTTCTCTATTTTCGAATTTTACTTTTTATTGTTGAAAAAACACATCAACAATAATATATAAATTTATAATGAAATTATACAAATTACTGTATATTTATATTATTATATTCATACCCATCAAATCAATACACATCAAAACTCCTCAGACTCCAACCAAACCCAAACTCAAACAAAAAAAAACATCAAAATTCAAACTTATCTCAAAATTCAAGTAAAAACCAAATTCAAACCCAAATTTTCTCTAAAACCTCCTAAAATAAACACAACCTAAATATGATCAACAATAACAACGGCGTATATATTTGAACATATTTCAATATTTCTTATATGATTTATTATTATTATAATGTGGGAATTTACGTCGCTATCCGAAGGTGCACTCTGACTAAATCTTCAGTCGAACCTAATACCTGAAAATTAAGTCTAACAAGACAAGTCACAATAAGTCAACCATATGTAACATGTGATTATTATTATTAGTATATGATTTTGAGTAATATATTTTAAAAACTTAAGTATAATATTCCATACATAATTAATATTTTTAAAATTTTATTTTCAATATAATATATTATTATTCTCTCCTTTCCGGGTCAACTACCCATTTATATAGGAATACGCTATTCTAGTAATGTAGATTAGAAAATTATTATAATATTATATTATTATTATATTTTTATATAAATAATATTATTTTATTTTAAATATTTTTACATTATATTTCAATAAAATAAAATTTTATATAATAAAAAAATATATATATAACAATACATATCTCAAATTTACATTATTATTCCTTAATCCAAAAATTCAAATGGGTATTTTAGTGCGGAGTATATTTGTGCGTTTTTATATTTATTTATTTATTTATCAATTTCTCTGCAGTTTTTAACTTTCAATACTTGAAAAAATTGGAATACCTAGACGGAAAGCACCGCAATGAATTTCTTTAAGCCCAGAGAATCCACGGCTAATGGTGCGGCCTCATCGCCACCTCCGCCGCCGCCGCCGCCGCATGTTCTCCTCCAGCATGCCATCAACTCTGTCCAAACTCATTTCTCAAACTTGGTCAATGAGTGGCGTAACAAACCCCTTCTGAGAAATCCCGTATTCGCCAAAATTTCAAACGGAAACAACACCGTATATGGACAGTCCAATTCCGTCGGCAGCAGTTCCAGTGCCAAGAATTTCGCGATGTCAGACGAAGCTATTGAGGAGAGGCTCGCTGGAGTGCCGGTGTATGCACTGAGCAACGGTTCACAGGAGTTTGTCCTCGTTTCGGGCACGAACACGGGGAAAAATCTCGGTTTGTTCTGCTTTAGCGAAGCCGATGCTGATTCCATTCTTAAGCAGATGAAATCGGTCGATCCATCTATGAGCTCTGGCTCGGAGGTCGTGGCTGTTGCCTTAAGCAAGGTAAAAACTGCATTCATTTGCTCTATTTGATTTAAGCTAATTTCCCTGAGAAATATTATCAGACACTAGTCGCTTGATTAGTTAACAGCTTTGGATGAGTAATTATCATCCATTTTGTAAGGTTTTCTTTGAGAAACCGTTTGGTGGATGATGTTAGTTAGCTCTATTGCTGCGACTTTACCAAATTCAGCTAATATCTGTTCGGTGGTTGTAGCATTGCATTTTATATTTCTTGATCATGTTCTTTGGTTACTAGGCTTGTTTCTTTTAGCCTTGGCATGGATGTTATCATCGATGCTAGAGCATGTTTTTTGTGGAGCAAATTGAGAGGATTACTTCTTGAAACTAATTTTTGTATTTCTTGTATTTAGTCTTTTATTCTGTCATAAAATCCGGATGCTCTGCTTTCTTTCTTTTTTGTTATGTCTTCTCTTTGTCAATGTTTTAATGTTCTGTTGTTCCCTGTCACCCTTATCTATCCCATCATAAACTTCGATTGTTATTTATCTTAACCTATATTGGTTTCAGATTTTTCAGCTGAAAGTTGACGGAGTGGCTTTTAGGCTGATTCCTGAGGCTTCTCAGATAAGGAATGCATTGAAGGTGAGCTTGCTTGATACATAAGTCTCCTTTGACGACCTGTACTCCGTTGCGTTTCTGCTTTCCAACCTTCTATGCTGAAGAATTATTATGATAACATAAAATTGTTAGAAGTGATGCTAAATAAACTGGACATTGTTACTGTGTCACTGGGCTGCTTGCAGTGTTTTTCCTCTTACTTCAATGAATGACTTATTTCTACTTACGTAGGAGAGAAAAACTTCTGGCGTCACTGATGAAAGTTTTCCAGGGGTTCCAGTTTTCCAGGTTCATTTTGCTTTCCTAGATTCCAAGCTTTTGCTACTTCTGAAACTTTTTGAAGCTTATAGTTTGCATGTGTTTAAAAAAAGTTGGTATATATTCAAGATCATCTAGTTCTGTTCATGTTATTAACCTACATAACAGATGGGTTGAGAAACTTGTTTTGTCAGGAGAAAGTGAATAGCAACGAGAAAATGTTACTCTAGATCCAGAACCAGAACAGAGCTGGTCACTAAAATTAGATTGATGGCTGTGTATCACATAAAAACAACTATGATCCGATAGCTTATTCTATAACAAAAGCCCTATGAATATAATGATTGCAGGCACTTGAAATTATGCATGAAACCTTATATTCTAACAAGTCTAAACCCTATACGTAGTCAATACATGAGGAGTGGTGCATTTGCAATTATGCAAAATCTGCACTGCTTGAAAATGTTTCTTTAACTGATGTTGCCTAATGTCAGCAAAAGAAATGTTTTGGTTTGTTCTTTCCTAGGAAAGATTTCTGGAGTGTTGGATTCTGAAGTCTAATAGCAGGACTGAAGCCTAAGGATATTGTTAGGGTTTTGTTGACATTTAACAGAAATAAGCTTATTTCAACCTTATATATATATATATATATATATATTATACTTTCTATTGCTTTTAATGTTATTCATTTATTCTAGTATAATAATTTTTGACTTGTCGGCGCCCTCAGACGTAGATCAATTTCGATTGAATTAGGTAACTAAATTCTCCTTCTATATTATTTTCTTGTTCTTGTGATATTTCTATAACAACGAGTACGAAAGCCTCGTTGAGCGGGAGCCGTCACAATGATCGAATGGAAGTTTTTCATTAATAAATTAATAAAGTCGACTACGGGTTTTGGAAGATGCTAATCGAGGATGACCTATATGGAATGGATTTGCATGTAATTCTGGGAGAGAAACCGGAATATATAAAATAAGATTAATGGAAAATCCTTGATATCTTTATTGGTTTGTCACTTTTGCATAATGTGGCGTTCCGTACAGCGAAAGCAAAACCAACAAGAAAACATTGCAGATCTTGGCAAATATGTGTGAGAAGCTGTCTACGACCAATAAAGTTCATGTGGAAATTCTTCGTTCTTAAGATGTCCGAGACTATAGTTGTGGCCGAACACCTTAATGAATTTAATATTATCACATCGTAGTGGACCTCTGTTAATATTGAATTTGATGACAAAGTGAAAACCAAGATTTTGCCATCCAGTTTTCGAAATAGTTGGGAAGACATTATCATAGCAAGTAGTGTTTCATTAGGAAATAAGAAATTGAAGTTCAACGCAGCCAAATATTTGATTTTGAGATAGGAATATCATATGAGGCAAAAGATAGCTCATATGGAACAACCACAAGTGCAAGCACGGGCAACAATGGCCCCGGTACTGCTGCGTGTCTATACAAGATGCGGAAAAGGGCAATTTGGTCTAATCATTGCATTACTATAGTATTAGTTATTATATTAGTAAAAGGGTCAATTATTTGGTATTTTTATTATATGTTATCCTTGCAAATTAGTCTTTAATCTTATTTATAATTAAATTTATGAGATGATATAAATAAATGATAACTAGGGTTAAAGAGGATTATCGAAATAATTAGTGTAAGGTGGCTACGGCTAGGCAAAGGAAATATGTTCTTCTTTGGAGTACTAAATTGGCTTTTACTTCTATCAAATTGTGTTCTTGTTTCTATCAAATTGGTCCGACTTGTTAGATCGGTCCAAGATGTCGATGACAAGGGATGCAAAAATTGTGGAAATAGAGCATACACTGGGTGTGGTCCATGAGGAGCAAAGAGACATTCGACAAAAATTGGAACCGCTGAATGTGTCCTTTGCAACACGGCAAGAAGCGATGCAAAAGCAGACTGCGGAAATCCCTACGGTTGTTTAAGCCCTTCAAAGAGCACCTACAAGATCATTAAATCCATCTGCGTTTGCATCAATTGGAAGAGCTGCCAATACACTCCCCCACCAAGAGGAAGTGGAAGATAATCAAGCACCTATACTACGCCTTTATGATGTCACTTTACAGAGTTTCAATGGCACCATTCCTATCGGCTGGATTGCACGATCTGAACAGTACTTAAAAATCACATCAGGTGGTGGGTCTGCAACGCGTGCAATTGGCAATGGTTGCGATGGAGGGATCATCCTTGCATTGGCTCCGGTGGTATCACTGGCACCATTCCGATGCATCATGGGTGGAATTTTCCTAAGCTTTGACGGTCCGTTTTGATGATCGCTATATTGGTAGCCCCTTCGAACGCTTTGCGGCTGTGAAACAAACCAATTTGGTGGATGGCTACATGGATAACTTTTTACAGTTAGCGAATCAGGTGCCGGAATTCGCTGAGGATCATTACTTGGGATATTTCTTGAACGGCATTCCATGCCTTTGAACCAAAAGATGTAGAAATAAACATTCAAGTGAATCGAAGTGTGGAATTGGATTGGCGAGAAGTGCAAGGAGCCTACTCAGAACTTAGAGTTGATCGGCCACCACAGTCACACGCGGCATCATGAGGGACTCGCACAGTTGATAATTTGATGCCTCAAGCAAGTGGCACTAACCCGAGGCTGCCAGAAAAAAGAGATGCCACTGTCTCAAAGGCTAGATCGCGTCGAACAACAAACATGGGGCAATCAACTGCAAAAACTCTTTTTTGTCGCTTATCACAACAGGAATACAATGAGCGATGAGCTAAGGGTCTTTGTTTCCGTTGTCATCTTCCTTATCACGCTTTACATGAGTGCCCTCAGAAACAGTTGAGAGTTTTGTTAATGGAAGAGAGAGATTCGTGGGATGAAGAATTACAAGAAATGACGGGGGATGCAGCCATGGACCCCAAAGAGTAGGTTGTGGCTAAAGATGAATCAAACTTGAGATATTTACCTCTATACTCAATTGCGGGCTTTATAGGATCTCGTACGATGAGAATTAAAGGAAGTTTGCAAGATAAAAGTCTGTTTGTGTTGATCGATAGTGGAGCAAGCCAAAATTCATCTCAGATTCTATCATAACAGATATGGGATTAGTGACAGCCTACGGGCAAGTTTGGAGTCACACTAAGGGATGGCGACGTTTGGAATGCGAGGAGTATGTCCAGGCTTATAGATTACCTTGGAAGGATGCATAGTCTAAACTGATTGTTACGTTTTCCCCTTGGGTGGGGGTGGATATGATCTTGTGAGTTGCATGACCGGAGACATTAGGGAATGTGCGGGTCAATTGGCAAACGATGTCAATTGCTTTCAAAGTGGATGAAGTGCCGACCACCTTATAAGGGGACTTAGCTCTTACACGTTCCCCGATAGCCATTCGATCCATGCTCTGCATTACCCAGTAGAATTTTGTGCCATTGTAGTGGACTTGGTATGGTGTTTGATCCTACGAAAAGAGGGGCAGTAACCTCTCAGATCGATGCAGCCCTCGAAACCTTGCTAAAGACATATGCAGAGGTGTTTGGTGAGCCCACTGAACTACCTCCAACTAGATCGGTGGACCACCGTATCATCCTGCAAGATGGAGCAAAGCCTATCTCCATTTGTCCCTACCATTATGAGAATGTGCAAAATGACGAAATCAAAAGACTATGTTGCGCATGTATCATTAGGCCAAGCTTAAGCCCATTCTCGAGCCTTGTGCTGCTCGTGAAGAAAAAATATTGTAGTTGGCAGTTTTGTATCTGTTACCGGAAACTAAACAAGATTACCATCCTGAACAAATATCCAATCCTTTCAAAGATTAATCTTCGTTTGGGCTATATCACCAAATTTGAGTTGCACCATCCAATATACCAAAGAAGGCATTTCGAACATACAACAACTATTACAAATTTCTAGTCATGCTCTTTGGCCTTATGAATGCTCTGGCGAAATTTCAGGCTACCATGAATGATCTTTTTCGGCGACTCTTATGAAAGCTTATCTTGGTTTTCTTTGATGATATACTTATATATAGTCGATTGTGGGAAACCCATTTTGATCACTTATCTCATGTTCTAGCAATTTTACAGGAAAATCAATTTAAAGCTAACAGAAAAAAAAAAATGCTCTTTTGGCTGCACTTCAGTGGAATACTTGGTCATGTTGTGTTGGAAAGAGAATTGACGATGGACCCGAAGAAAGTTACAGTAGTGGTAAATTGGCCGATTCCTAAGTCGGTGAGGGAAGTAAGAGGATTTCTAAGCCTTACGGGATACTATAGGCTATTTATTCGACATTAAGGAACCATAGCCTATCCGCTTACACTACTCAAGAAATCAGCCACGCCATTCTTATGGACAGCCCTTGCACAAACTGCATTTGATGCCTTAAAGGCCGCTCTTACTAGCTATGCCTGATTTTCAATAGCATTTAACAATAGAGTGTGATGCATCCGGAACGGATGTAGGAGCTGTTCTTATGCAAGATGAGAGACCCATCGCCTTTTTAGTAAAGAGTTAGCATATAAAACCCTTGTATGATCCGCTTATGAGAATGAATTGATGGGTCTAGTTCTTGCGATTCAACAATATCGTCCTTATTTAATTGGTCGACGGTTCACATCACTTACAAATCACCGTAGCCCGAAATACTTACTCACATAACGATTTGTTACCCCTTCACAACAAGCGTGGATGGCCAAACTATTAGGATACTCTTTTAGTATCGTCTATAAACCGGGCCGAGTCAACTCTACAGCTGATTCTTTGTCATGGCGTGGTGAGGAGAGAGGGGAGTTGAGAGCCATTAGCGTACCCACATGGCTAGGTTGGGAGAAGATATGCGATGAACAATGTAGAGACCATTCCCGTCAAGCAATCCAAAAAGAGTTACGAAATGGAGGCACAACGCAAGGTAATTTTGAGTTGATTGATGGACAGTTGCTTTATCGAGGTAGGTTGGTCATTCTAGAGGGTTCTGAATGGATTCAACGGGTGTTTTGTGAGTTTCATTCAGCCTCAGGTAAAGGACATGCGAGTATTTATCGCACATATTGTCGTCTTCACTCTGGTGTGTATTGACAAGGTATGTACCGCAAGGTACGGGATTCTATGGCCAGTTACATCGTTTTCCAAAAAGCCAAATATGAAACATCCTCACCGGCGAGTCTTCTCCTACCTTTCTATGGACTTCATTACCTCCTCGCTTAAATCCCAAGGGTTCTCTTGTGTAACGGTGGATCACTTAGCCAAGTATGCGCGCTTTATTGCTTTACACATGCCCTTTTCAGCCCGTTCTGTTGCTGAAATATTCACTAAGGAGGTCGTGCGCTTGCACGGTGTACCTCGTTCGATAGTTACTGATATATATGCAATATTTTTAAGCACATTTTGAAAGAAACTTTTTAAGCTTTAGGGAACTACTTTCAAATTTAGTTCAACATATCACCCCGAGACAGATGGGCAAACAGAGGTACTTAATTGTATATCGAGAACATACCTTTGATGTTTTTTGTCTGAGCAACCAGGAAATGGGTGGGTTTTCTTCTGTGGGCGGAGTATTGGTTCAATACTGCTTTCCAAACAACAGCTATGATCACCCCGTTTGAAGCAATTTAGGGACGACCACCACCAGATTTATGCCGCTACCTCCCAAGGGAATGTAAGGTTGTAGTTGTGGCTTAACTTCTTGGTGGTCGAGATGCAGTGCTTCGCCTGTTACGGTTCAATCCGGAACGGGCGCATATGCGAATGCAAAGGTATCTATGCCAATGCAAACTGTTGAGAGATGGAATTTGATGCTGGGGATACGGTGTTTTTTAAGGTTCGACCGTATAGGCAAACCTCGATTCAGACCACAGGCCACCACAAGTTGTTTGTGTGTTATCATGGCCCTTTATGAGGAGAGAACTGTATTGGCACTGCAGCATATCGCTTGCGACTTCTGGAATCGAGCCGAATTCACCCTGTTTTTCATGTCTCACAACTAAAAAGAGTAGTTGGGGACCATCAAGCTGCCCTATGCTTTAGATATTACTGACATCCCTTTATTTGAACTAGATCGCATGTTGGGAGAGCGAGTAAAACAACAAGATGAGCGAGATGTAGCCTAATTTTTGGTCAAGTGCCAAGGGCTTTTTGAGGATGATGCCACCTAGATGGATGTTGAGGATTTGCATGGCCAATTTTTAGATTTACACTTCAAGGGCAAGCCTTTCTCGGAGGGGGATAGAGTTGATATAGAACAACCGCAAGTGCAGGCACCGGAAACAATAACCCTAGTAACATTACGTGTCTATACACGACGCGGAAAAAGGCACTGATAGAAGCAAGAATACAATAGAAATCAAAACTAGTATATTACTCAGAAGAAGAACTAATCTTCTCTGTCCAGCCGTAGCCGTCTTACACTAATTAGTTGGATAATCCCCTTTAACCCTAATTACCATTTATTTATATCAACTCATAAATCTAATTATAAATAAAATTAAGGATTAACTTGCAAGGATAACATATAATAAAACCAAATAATTGACCTTTTTACTAACATAATAACTAATACTACGGTAAAGCAACGATTAGACCAAAGCACCCTTTTCCGCATTGTGTATAGACACGCAGAGGTAGTGGGGCCATTGTTGCCGGTGCTTGCACTTGCGGTTGTTCCATATAAGGCGCTTTGGTCTAGTCATTGCATTACCATAGTATTAGTTCTTATATTAGTAAAATGGTCAATTATTTGGCATTTTTATTATATATTATCCTTGCAAATTAGTCTTTAATCTTATTTATAATTAAATTTATGAGTTTATGTAAATCAATGGTAATTAGGGTTAGAGAGGATTATCAAAATAATTAGTATAAGGCAGCTATAGCTGGGCAAAGGACAGAATTAGGCTTGCCTTCGCAAGCTTGGTTTTAATTATTAATTCTTATTGTCATATTCTATTCTTTACTTGTTTGGTCTTTTATTGTTACTAAAATATTTTAAATAGGATTAGGGTTTGTTTTTGGAATATTATTCTGAGTTTTGATTCAATAAACAGCTGAAGGGGCTGTCTTGGCAAATGAGAGTTTCGTTTGAATATCCTATATTCTATCAGATGATGAGAAGCTGCCATTGCAAATGAAAGATGAAAGTAAAAGGTCCAATCAGTCTTGTTTGAATGTAAAGCCCAACAACAAGCCTGAAGTCCTAAGATATGCCTAGAGCTTTGTCAGCATATGTATAATAAAATTTTACTTTATATTAGTTTTAATGTAATTTATTGATTCTAGTATAATAAAATTCTCTGCGTAGCAGCGCCACAGACGTAGGTCGGTTTAAATCGAACTGAATGACTAATTTTTTTTTTTTAATTTTGTTATGACTTAGGGTTAGTAAAAAAGAGAACTTTATTCAAATCAATGGAAGTAGAGAACCATAGAGGAAAATCAATTCGCTCTCTAAACAAAACCAAAATAATGACTGTCTACCTTAATATGACTTAGTTGCGCCCTATGTATAGACGTACTTATGGGCCAAGCCCAAAACTCATAATAAAGAATTTAACAGGAAATAAATTAATAAGGGAAATAATAAGGAATAAAATAATTATTATCCTAGGTGAGTACGGTGCTTCTCCCTCTTGGCCTTGACTTTACCCAACTCCATAACAATTCCATCCTCTTGAAAACCGCCTTGTCCGCAAGGCAGAAGACAGTGGAAGCACAATTCCTCTCCATCAAACCAAGCCGAATCCTTGTTCATTAGTCCGTGCCAATGTATCAAAACTTGAGGAATGAGCTTATCGCCTCTACCGTCATCTGCTCGGGCTTCGTGGATCTTTTGTCCACCTTTTGACCTCGTTCATCTCTTCGAGCTCGGCCATCCAATTCGTGTCTGGGTCCACCACACAAGTTCGCAGAGACTTGCTGGAAACTAATGCAATGCTGTATAAGGCTCCTTACAGTTGTAACAAAGTCGCTCAGACCGACACTCGCAATACCTTCACGACTTAATTTCCAGAAGGAGACTCGCACCGAGGACTGGTCCGACGCCACCGGGCGTCCGGCAATGGAGTTGCTGTCTGTGCCTGGTCTACTGCTCCCTATACCACTCTCGAGACTAAAGGGACCTACCGGAGGTCCAGTCTGCGCTCCATCGCTAAGGAGCGAACTCCCATATTGACCAGGCGGTTGTCTAGGATGTTGATATGTCGTGGCAGAACCAACATTGAATTCACACTCAATGCTACGGCTGATCTAGATAGTTAAGTCCAAATCTTTGGGGTCTAGTGTCTTCAGACGATTGCGGATGGTCTGTTGTTATCGCCCCATGAAGTATCCGAGGTAATGCTCATCCGTCAAGCCTGACACCTGTGTCGCCAATTGGATGAGCTCGTTGATATACTGATCAACTCCCCCTCTTCGCCGAAGTGTGGCAAGGCTCTCTTAGGGGCTCCCTGTGTAACGATCCTCAAAACGAAGTATTAGGGCTCGAGAAAACTCCCACCAAGTTGTGGTCGGATGGCGAAAGTGTTGCCATCGAGACCAGTGCAGTGTTGTGCCTTGCATGGCGATGCGCGCTAATGTTACCTTGAGTTCTACTCGCAATTGGTGGAGTTCAAACTGTTGTTCAGCGCGAGCAACCCAACCAATAGGCTCCGTCACATGAAATGGTGGTACTCTGACTTCTGAGATGAGCGAGGTGGCGAAGCTTCCGTGGTGGGGGGTCAACCCCCCTACCGGTTGAAAATTCGGCACGAGTGGAGGTTGCGCCATGGGCGGTGACGCTGAGGACGCCGGGAATTGCGTCGGCGGCTGACGCAGTGGCGTCAGGCGGTGGCACTGAAGCCGCCGAACGTTGCCTTGATCATTGCGAGCAACTCCTGCCGCAGCGACACCATGTGATTTGTGTTCTGCTCTCCCAAAGTCTCAAGCTTGGCGGAAAGATCCTGGCGAATCTGGTTTACCTCTTGTATTTCTCCAACGACTGATTCCAATAGCTCAAATCGTTGTTGATTGGAGATGGACATGATTCCGTCAGCAGAGGATCCGGTAAGTCGGACCTTGTTATGACTTAGGGTTAGTCTAAAAATGAACTTTATTTGAATCAATGGAAATAGAGAACTACACAAAAAAACCAATTCGTTCTCTAAAAAGAATCAAAATAATGATTGTTTACCCTAACATGACCTAGATGCACCCTATGGCCGGACTTATGGGCCAAGCTCAAAACTCATAATAAAGAATTAAACAGGAAATAAAATAATAAGAGAAATAATAAAGAATAAAATAATAATTATCCTATGTGACTACAGTGCTTCTCTCTCTTCTAATATAAACTTTGACCCAACTCCATAACAAATTTTATATTATTTTCTTTTATTTTTGTAATATTCCGGTAACACTGAGGTTAAGCACTAAACCCATAGATACTGATAAATTAAGCTACAGTTGGTTTCTATAGAATTTGACGACTAGTAGATATGAGGTTGTGCATTAGGTTTGTTGTTGATCACGACTTGGAGAATATTATTATTATTATTATTATGAATTTAAATATGCTGTCTTATTTTTTGCTTTTCTGTTATTTTTACCGCATTGAAAATGATGAATTGCAGTCAAAAAGCTTGATTTTGCGGAGCCACAACAAGAGATACCGTCCTGCTTTTTTCAGAAAGGTGGAAATGAATCTCTGTTTTAAATAACTGGCTGTTTCACATTCTATACTTGATTGCCTCAAATCACATCTTCTGTGTACTATGAAATCCTCAGGAGGATCTCGACAAGTCCCTTTCAAGAGCTTCGCGTGATCAGAGGCAGTTAAATCCCCTTCTGAGGCAAGGAGAGATACAGGTTGAATTTCAAATATTCGTCGTCTCTGCTCACTGTATCATCTTCATACATTCTTTGTGTATCGTTATCATCTTTTTTTTTTTAATTACTGCAGGTTGCCACTCTTGAGGATATAATTCAGCAAATGAAGGTGAGTCACCTGCCCGGACTGCAATCTTTATCCCTACTATTCTAACCAAATTCATGTGCACTTGCCAAGTTTTCCTCGCGTAATTTCCTTTCACTCGATGCATTCTAAGTTTCACGCATCTCCATATTCTCACTTGCAGGACACCTCAGTTTCCTCGTGCGATGATGTGGTCTTCATCCCACCGGGCTTTGATGTTTCAACTGATCCCTTTAAGAAATAAACTTGTAGATGGATGATGATAGTGCCATAGAGTATCGTTGCGGTTACAGGTATGTATTTAGTTGTCTCTAGTTTTAGCTTGGAGCAGAAGATAGATATATATATATATATTTATATATATATATAACATTACAAGCTGGATTTTGTTTCAAGAATGGTTGTTTTCATGGATTGCGGCGTAGGGATGAGCTGTTGATGATTTTGCATTAAAAGGAGATTTATATTTGGTGTTCATGCTCAGATATATCTATATATACACACAGCCCTATTCGTCGATGATCTGTGGTTTTAGCAGTTTCTTTATTGGGATAGTTCATCTTCACAAAAGCAATAAAAACATGAGAAATAGAGCTGTTAAACAAGTTCAGTCAATTTAAGTATATTTTGTTTGACATGCTGTAAGCCTTTGCAGTAAGAGGAGTAGTTATGGCTGTTGGTACAAGTTCGATTCAGCTCATTTGAACATTCCAGCTAAAATGATGACTCGAGTTCCGCTTGTTAAGACTTGATTTCAAAGTTGACTTGAATTTTATACCTATTATATATATTTTTAATTTATAACTTAAATAAATATTAATTTATTTTTAATTTATCATAATAAAATACGCTCTTCATCCTAATTCAAAGTATTATTTTTACGATTTTTATTCGTCTCATTTCAAAGTATCTCTTTCATATTTTAGAAAAAATAATTATATACTAATACCAAAATACTCTTTAACTTTTTATTTAAATTACAAATATATTATTACACAATAATATCTTTATACAAAAGTCGAATGGCAAAAATGTCAATTTTTTTTATACATTTTCACTAATTAATAAAATACTATTATTTTTTAATATAATATAAATTTGATAAGGGACGGAGGGAGTATTTAAATTTCATTAATGATATTTTGACAAAGAATTATATATACTATATTAATATATGAAAGAAAACAAATATAATATATCGTTACTAACAAATTTCAAGTAACTATTTGTTAAAGAAAAAGAAATTTTTGAGTTCAAGTTCGGTTTGTTTATTTTTATAAACGAGTTGAGTTGAGCTATTAAAGAATTTAGTTGAATTTGGCCGGCAAACTTAGGGTGTGTTTGTTTGGGGGTTTGAATTTTGGGTTTGAGATTTAAATAGTAAAAATTTTGAATTTAAATAATTTTATGATGTTTATAAATAAGTGTTAAGTGATGTTTTGAATATAAAAATAATTTTTAATATACTAAAAAAAATAAGATAAATGTTAGATTTAAGGTTTGTAAGGAGGAAAATTGACACGGCCTGGCCGCGTATAATTATAACCAATATAATTTTCTTACCCACAAAGTTCAATAGAATAAATGAATTAAAATATATATAAAAGAAAAAGAAGGAAGAAGAAAAGACAGTGTAGAGAATGTGAATTAGTATGGATGATAATCAACCACGAGAATAAGTCTCGGATCTGAAATCAATCCATTGGTAAAAAACAAACAATATGCTAAATCTCACTGCAAATGATTGGAAGCCACGAACCGATGGAATCACTGTAAAGACCCGATTTGAGATTCTAAATGTGAGGAAATCACTCCCTAACACTAGAAAATTATAAAAGTGAAACTTGATTCAAGATGTAAAAAAAAAGTTCTCATTACAATGATAGACAAAGACTTTATAGAAGTCATTGAGAAAATAAAAGGCAACAAATAATAAAGGAAACAAACCAAAAGGTAAGTCTAACTATAAGGAAATAAATAATTAGGGATGTTTTAGGTACGGAATTATACTATATGGAAACTTATAATAAGTGATTCTCTCCGTAAGTGATTAGCGATTCTCTCCATAAGTGATGATTCCCTTGATATACTTCCACGATTAGTGATTCTCTCCACAAGTGATGATTCCCTTGATAATCTTCCATAATTAGCGATTCTCTCCATAAGTGATGATTCCTTTGATAATCTTCCATGATTAGCGATTCTCTTGATCTTTCAATTGGGATTCTTGCGGGTCCTATTGAAGGAGCGTCAAGTGAGGGCTAAGTGGTCTCCAAGCATCATCCTTAAATTGATTCTCCATAAAAAAACGTCCGATCAATGCAGTGACAAATTTTTTAAACTTACGAGCTCGGCTTCGAGTGATGGGTCCCACGGGCATTTGAATGCTTGAAGATTGAACGTCCTCGTCATTCCCTCCTTCTTGAAAAGCTTTCTTGTTCTCCCGAACAAGATATTCATCCACTGCATAAAAAAGGCTTAAGTTAGAAACATTAAAAGTAGCATGAACTTGGTACTCACCTGGGAGTTCAAGTTTGTAGGCATTATCATTAATGCGTTCCAACACTCGAAAAGGCCCATTGCCACAGGGAGTAAGTTTTGAATTTTGCAATTCTGGAAATCTTTACTTCCTTAAGTGTAGCCAAACCCAATCTCCTATGTCGAATACAACTTTTTTGTGCCCACGGTTAGTTTGTTTTGCGTAATTGTCAGTTGCCTTTCGTAGGTTATCCCGAACTTGAGAATGAAGTTGTTCGACAAATTCAACCTTTTTTTTACCATGAAAACAAACGTGCTCATTGCGTGGCAATGACATAAGATCAAGAGGAGTTAATGGGTTAAAACCATAAACAACCTCAAATGGAGAACAATTCACATAGCTATAAATCGTACGGTTATATGCAAATTTAGCATGAGCTAAACATTCTTCCCAACTCTTCAAATTCTCATTAACTAAGGCACGTAACAAGCTACCCATAGTTCGATTAACAACTTCAGTCTGACCATCAGTTTGTGGGTGGTGTGATGTGGAAAATATTAATTTTGTACCTAATTTAGCCCAAAGTGTTTTCCAAAAATAACTTAAAAATCGAGAATCCCTATCAGAAACAATGGATCTTGGAACACCATGCAATCTAAGAACCTCTCTAAAAAGTAATGAAGCAACATGCGAATATTTATACCTACTCCTAGGCAAACCTAATATGAAATCCATAGAAATATCATCAACCCAAAAGGATTCAGGAATCGGTAGCGGAGTATACAAACCGTGTGGATGAACAATAGACTTCGACGAAAGGCACGTTGTACACCGACGAATTGTGGCTTCAACTTCGGCTTTCATTCGTGGCCAAAAAAAATGTTCCTTACTTTGGGATTTGATATGCTTGAGGGACTCATGATTAGTGTACACAACAAACTCATGAGGACATAAATAATGTTGCCATGTTTGCAGGGCCCGCACTAAGGAGTACAATTCCTTATCGTAGGTTGAGTAATTCAACACAGTGCCATGTAGCTTTTCACTGAAAAATACAACGGGTCTCTTTTCTTGTGAGAGGACATCACTAATACCTACACCAGAGGCATCACAATTAAGTTCAAACGGTTTAGAGAAATCAGGTAAAACAAGTACGGTACACATGTAAGTTTCGATTTCAAAGTATCAAAAGCATTTTTTTGTTCACTTTCCTACTCAAACTTATCCTTTTTTTTGGTAATTGCAGTTAAGGGTGTTGCAATAGTGCTGAAGTTCCGCACAAATTGACGGTAGAAACTTGCAAGGCCATGGAAACTGCGGACATCACGTATGCTAGTAGGTGCAGGCCACTCTTGGATGGCTGCAACCTTTGCAGGATCTACACATACTCTATCTTTTCCTACAATAAAACCCAAAAAATTGCAATTGTCGACACAAAATTCGCATTTTTTCAAGTTAGCATATAACTTCTCAGCCCGTAAAACATCTAAAACTGCCTGTAAATGTTCAACATGTGTTTCAATAGAAGTACTATAAACAAGTATGTCATCAAAGTATACTACCACAAACTTATTTATAAAATTCCTTAAAACATGATTCATCAATCGCATGAATGTACTTGGGGCATTGGTAAGTCCAAATGGCATAACTAACCACTCATATAGACCAAAAGAAGTCTTGAAGGCAGTTTTCCATTTATCACCTTGATTCACCCGAATTTGATGATAGCCACTTTTTAAATCAATTTTTGAAAAATTACAGAACCACATAAATTATCAAGCATGTCATCTAATCTGGGAATGGTATGACGATACTTAACTGTTATAGCGTTGATGGCTCGGCAATCCACACACATGCGCCAACCTCCATCTTTTTTTTGGCACCAATAGGACAGGTACAACACAAGGACTTAGGCTTTCATGAATCCAACCTTTGCTCAGTTAGATCCTCTACTTGCCTTTGTATTTCTTTTACCTCATCCGGGTTGGCTCGATAGGCTGGCTGATCAGGAATTGATGCTCCCGGAACAAAATCAATTTAGTGCTCAATTCCACGAGTGGGTGGTAAACCATGGGGTACTTCATTAGAAAAACATCATCATACGTCTGCAATAAGTTAGAAAAACTAGATGGAAGTTTGTTAGAGTCATTCATGGAAAAATAAGTAGGTTTAGAAAGTAATAGCAAACAATGAACTCCATGTTTAAAGCGTAAAGCTTTCTTCCTACATATGAAAAGATTAGACCTCTCACTCTCGTGTTTAAGATTCCAGCTGGTTTCACCCTGAATCACTACACTCGTGTTTGATTTTTGAGTAGAAGGGTAGAGTATCTGAGAGTGGCTCGGGGTAGATGTATTTATTGGTGATGTTGAAGATTTGAGAGGTTGTCGGGTAGTTAGGCTATATGAAAGAGTAGATGCACTTGTATCCAGAGTACCTCTTTTTACGGGTGATTCTAAGGAGGACTTCAAATTGGACTCCTCTTTTCCTTTGTTGATATGTTGTGGAAGCGGCGCTTTAGGTAACCCTACAATTGGAGAAAGTTTAAATGGATTACCTTGCATCCGCTTTGATTTTAGTTGCTTCTCCACCTTTATGGCCAAGTGTACCATCTCCTCGAGATCCACGTTTCTGTACATCTCTACCGCATCAGCAATATCCCTTTGAAGCCCATTCGAAAATCTAGACATCATTTGCTCCTGATCTTCATGGATATCGGCTTGTAGAAGAAGTGTTTCAAGCTCCTCATAGTACTTTTCCAGTGACCGAGACCCTTGTTGTATACTCTGCAATCTCCGCAATACTTCACGATGGTAATGAGGAGGAACAAACCTCTTTCGCATGAGTGTACGAAGTTCTGTCCAAGTATGCACTGGGGTCTCCCTATTTCTGGGCGGTTGATGCTCAATTGGTCCCACCATGCAATGGCATAATCTCAAAACTCCATTATGGCCACACAGAGTTTTTGTTGGTCAGTTAATTGTTGAACATCAGAGAT